GGACAGTTCCCTAGGGCACTCAAGGAAGCTGTGGTTCGTCCCCTCCTGAAAAAGCCATCTCTGGATCTGGCCGAATTGGCTAATTACTGGCCAGTCTCCAATCTGCCCTATTTGGGCAAAATAACTGAGAGGACTGTGGCAATTCAGGTACAGAGCTTTTTGGATGACACTTCCATTCTAGAACCTTTCCAGTCCGGTTTCCACCCAGACCACAGGATGGAAATGGCACTGGTCGCCCTTACGGATGACCTCCGGAGGCATCTGGATCAGGGTGGATTGGCAGTGATGTTGCTGTTGGACCTGTCAGCAGTGTTCGACATGGTCAACCATCAGTTACTGATCCACCGCCTTGCCGACACTGGAGTCCAGGGGCCTGCCTTGCAATGGCTGGCTTCCTTCTTTCAGGGTCAGGGACAAAGGATGGCACTAGGGGAGCAGCTATCCCAAAGGCACCCACTGATTTGTGGAGTGCCCCAAGGGGCGGTGCTGTTCCCAATATTATTTAACATCTACATGTGCCCCCTCTTGCCCAGATTGCCCAGAGGCATGGGCTGGGATGTCACCAGTATGCAAATGACACCCAGTTCTATCTGTTGTTGGGTGGCCAGTCTGACTCTACACCGGAAGATCTCGACCGGGTATTGCAAGCTGTAGCTGGTTGGCTCAGACTGAACCAACCGAAATTGAATCTGACGAAGACAGAGATCCTGTGCCTGAGCCGGGGTGGCCCAAGGGTAGGAATCCTACTTCCAACCTTCGATGGGGCACCATTGGTGCCAGCACTGGAGGATAGGAGCTTAGGAGTGCTCCTGGATGCCACACTAACAGTGGAGGCCCAGGTAGCAGCCACTGTCAAATCAGCCTTTTACCACCTCCGGCTGATTAGGCAGTTGGTTCCCTTCCTTGAATGCAATGACTTGGCGACAGTGATCCATGCGATGGTCACCTCGAGATTGGACTAAAGCACTGCACTGGCTGCCGATAGCATACTGAATTTGCTTCAAGGTGCTGGTACTTACCTTTAAAGCCCTTTATGGTCAGGGGCCCACATATCTGAGGGAACGCCTTTCCCCACACATTCCCCAGAGAGCACTGCGCTAAGGGTCACAAAATCAATTGGTCTCCCAGATCCTAAAGATGCCAGGCTGGCGACAACCAGGGCCAGGGCCTTCTCAGTGGTGGCTCCGTACTGGTGGAATGAGCTCCCAGAAGAGATCAGGGCCCTCGGGACCTTTTACAGTTCCACAGGCCTACAAGATGGAGCTCTTCCACTAGGCCTTTGACTGAGGAGCCGCACCAAGTAACATCAAATAACTGAGAAGTGACAGTGCCCTGGTCCTTGGCTTACCACCAACAGCCTGTGCTGTTGCCTAAAAATAGAGACCGAGATGAGCCAAAGACCAATATAGATCATCTGATTACAACACTAGTATTGGTTCCTCCTTCTGTAAGCACTGTTGTAAGTACCTGATCACTTACTAGCACTTTATGATAATGTAGAGTTTAATTATTTGTTTCAAGGTTGTATGTAATTTGTTATCTATATGTTTAATCTCTTTGTAAGCCGCCCTCAGCCCACTCCAGTGGTGAGGGTGGGGTATAAATTGAATAAATAAATAAAGTTATTAACAAACTCTTTCGTTTCTCAACAGTTTTCTGCACTGCATCCACAAGCATTTTTTCCCCTTGGCCTCTTCTTCCATTGCTTTCTCAACTCTTTCTAGCATGAGCTTTGCCATGTTGAATCCCACAATATCCATCACCTCTGCTTTCATTGTGTCATGTTTTAAGAGGTTAATTATGTTTCTATACTTTGTGGAAGATTTCACCAAATCACTTTTACTTTTAGGAACAAAGTCCTTAAAGTACTTCATAACTAAACTGAAAACAATCTGTCTTCTCACAGGGAAGTCATCATGTTTCCCAAAAAATGCAGTAATGAAAAAGGAAAAACATAAACTGCATTCACAAAAATCAAAGAAATACTGACTTTACTGACCAATTTTTTAAAAAACTGACAAATTACTGACCAAGATGAAAAAACTGACTTTTACTGATTTTACTGACCATTTTCCACCCGAGTACCTCATCCGAGATTGTTCACAGCTTAAACAATCTATATACCTAATAGTGAACTGGCCCCCTCTGTGCGGATATCTAAATCCGCACTTCGGGGGCACTTGGGGGGCAGGGAGAGGTTTGTGTACACGTGGGGCAGTCCCCACATGTGCACAAAAATCCTAAATGTCGAAAACAGAATCGGGGGGATGTTTAAATCCCCCCGAAACTCACAGAGCATCCCCTGCACATGTGCAGGGAACGCTCTGCGACCGAGGCTGCCGCCGCCGCTTGGAAGGGAAGCGGTGATCGGCGAGCGGCGAGCCGGGAGGGGGGCCCCAGACTGGCAAGGGCCGAGTGGCTCGGCTCGGAGC